TGCACCCCCATGTTTATTGCTGCTTTATTTACAATTGGAAAAACATGGAAGCAGCCCAAATGCCCAAAAGTAGATGACTGGATTAAAAAGATGTGGTGCATATATACAGTGGAATATTACTCAGCAACCAAGAAAGAGAAACACATGCCTTTTGCAGCAACATGGATGGAGCTGGAAAAGATCATGCTTAGTGAAATAAGACAGAAAGAAAAGGAAAAATACCGAATGGTTTCACTCATAGCAGGAGTATAAAGGACAGGGGAGAAAATAATAATAACAGTAAACAGCTATATACCAGAGACATTTTGTGGGGTGGAGCAGGGAATGGGATCACAAACAGTGGGGGGAGGGAAATGCACTGGACTATGGTGATGGCACATGGGTGCTTTGGTGATGAGAAGCCCACAGGGATTACAACTGAGATGGAATAAGGCACAAAGTGATGTAAAAATAAATTATTATATTATTTTTAAAAAAATTTTTAAAGGCAGGTTTATTAGGAAAAGGAGTAAAATAGGAGAGACACCTGCAAAATTGACCGTGGGCTCAAGAGCTGCCTCTTGCCCTAAATTCTCTTTTTCTCTCTGCTTTCCTTTCCATCTGTGAGCCATTCTCTAGGCATATAAATGGGCAAGATGATTTTTATGCCATCTCCTTTATTCCCAGCCCACTGAATATGCATGTATGGCATTAACTATGACAGAATCATGCTTCCTTATTTGATTTGACTTGACGCAGAACAGATGGATGAACACAGTAAGCTCAGAGACCTGCAGTTTGCATCTTCCTTGACACCTTTGGAAAATAGCATAGAACTGCATAGTGCTTTAATAGTTTTAGATGTTTCTGGCATTTTTTCTTACAAGGCTTATTATGGTCAGAGTGTTGATGTTTCTGCTGTCCTAAAATTCATATATCCAAACTTCATATGCATGGTATTAGGAAGGGAGCCTTTGGGAAGTGATTAGCCCATGAGAGTGGAGCATTCAGAAATGGGACTGGTGACCCTATAAAAGAGACCAATTCCTCGTTCTTTCTGCCAGGTAAGATTATAAGATGTCTGAAATCACTCCAGGGCCCCATGGGGCATTCCGGTGCCCTGATCCCAGACTTCCAGCCAACACAGCTGTAAGAAATACATTCCTATTATCAGCCATCCAGTCTGTGGTGTTTTGTTATAGCACCTTGCACAGATTAAGACATCATTCATTACAGAGAAGCGTGGACACTGACAAGAGCTGCAAGGCTGATATCCATTCATTCATCTTTCCAAGTCAAATCCAAGTCATCTGGACTGGGAAGATTTTCCCTTTCTGTTCATCTCTCTACCATTGGGCTCTATTTATTTATTTTTCTCTAATTGAGGCGATAATATGGCACCCCTACCAGACACCCTAATCTATAAACAGCATCATACATTCACCACCAAGGCACATATAATCCACCACCATAGTCATTAGATTCTTTTTAATCCCTCAGTGAAGATATTTTCTGCACTGTATCAGATCACATTAAATTATTTTTAATTAGGGGTTCAAGGAAACTCGAAGAAGATTCACATTAAAAGAAAATATATTGGTCATTTTCAAATGAGAAGCATTTAAATGTTTAGGAACAAAGCCACAGTTGAATCTTTGTGGGTTTTGTGCACAAATCTCACCACTTACAATGAATAGTGGGAGAGGATACTGCATTTTTTTAGCACTGACAGACTTAGCCTGTGTTTTGGCTCCTCCTTATCTTTGACTACCATCTGCAGCCTGTGTGCTAATATCCTTATACATGCTCATTCTGTTAGGACAGGATGGCTATGAGTTGGCCATGCAGGGCTCTGAAACTTGTTAATCCAGGCCCCATGGCAGATGCTGATAAAAGTTCCTCTGAACAGGGAACAGCTAGGTACTGTATCAGGACAGGGAAAATGAGGCCTTGTAAGCCCTTGAGGAACACACAGAATACACCCTGAGAAAGTCCCCCAAAATTTAAAGCAGCTTGAAGGTGAGAGATGATCAAGGACACTCATATCAATAAAGACCAAGAAGGAACTTCATACCACCTAGGTGACCAACAGAGGAAGCATGATGTCATGTGATGCTATTCCCGGCTCACAGTATAAACATGGGGATACATGCCTTTTCCAGGGGTGTATTTCTTCACCTTCAGCATGATGAAGCACGAGGATGTGGAGGAAGTCTACGTATACCTCATGCACAATGGCAACACGGTGTTCAGCATGTACAGGTGGGTGGTCTTTTCTGTCACAGGTAGTGCTGCCTACCATTGTTGGCCCAGATGAAGGTCAATGCCAGGGACGTGTATAGGAACGGACAGAGCCCACATGGATTCTACTCTCACTGGCACTCCTATGCACCCATACATGACGAGATTATAGCTCTTTGGGAAGGAATAAACCTGATGAACTTGACCATCAGCATGTTGGCAAGAGGCCTTGAGTAATACTAGTGACAGTCCCTATAACTCATCACTTGTATTCTGTCCTGAATCATTATCTCTTCCCCATATCTTCTGCCCTGCCTCCATCCCTCTTGCTCAGAGGCGAGCGTGGGTGATGGTCCTCTCCAGCATTTCCACAGGCTGGCAGATGGGGGCTGGGAGTATCCTTGAAGGCTGCACAGTCATTCTTGGGCCCCTTGACAATGTAAAGAGAAAGAGATGAAATAGGTAGGAGGGTGCTGCTGCCATCAAGAAGCCTGGAACACAGTGGGTGGGCAGATCAGCATCTTTGGCCTACTCATGGGGAACGATGAGGTGGCAGAAGGGGAGGAGGGAATTGTATAAGGATTGAAAGGGTGTCATCCACCTGGATTTTTTTTTTTAAGATTATTTATGCTTACAGAACTGGGGTACAGGCCAGAGGTGTGGTGGGTGAAAGGATTCACCAGAGACAGAGTGGGGAGCAGAACAGGCACACTGACAGTACACTGCTGAGGGGAGCAGCAGGCGGGTCAGGAGAGGTCTGCCGCGCCATGTGGGTCAGCTCCCTGGCGGGGGATGAACTGGTGCTGCAGTAGCTTTGTAGAGCTTCATAATGCGGTTGTGCATAACCCGTTGTGCCTCCAGGGAGAGCCACCCTCCCAACCCCACCCCCCTGGATTTTTGAGGGATGCAGGCTGGTGAAAGTAACTCCACTGGTTAGAAAAATGGGGAAAATTGATTTTGGTAAAAAGCAGGCTGTCCACTGCAAACACTAAATACTTGGTGCTTTTTTATTTTCCAGCTATGAAACCAAAGGGAAATCAGATACATCTAGCAACCACGCAGTGCTGAAGCTGGCCAAAGGGGATGAGGTTTGGCTGAGAATGGGCAACGGAGCTCTTCATGGGGACCACCAGCGCTTCTCCACCTTTGCAGGGTTCCTGCTCTTTGAAACTAAGTAAATACTTGAATAGACCAGATCCGCTGTGGGGAAGACTTGTAACTGAGCTGGTACCATGATGATACGAGGGACATTAGAGTTGAAGGTCCGACATGTTATACATAAAAAACTCTTTACATTGTGTTGTTACATTACTAGATGCACCAGGACGCTACAGGACTCAGGGGCTCCGAAGAATGAACCACAAAGCCTCTTCTCAAGGGACTGTAACAAATACACTCAGCACCTTTATCACTTTATCCCTAAAAGAGAGTGCCCTCTGCACACAGGTCCCCAGCAGAGAAATCATTTGCCGAGAATTTTAGCTACTCTGTCTCTAATAGCATCTTTTAGGAACCTCTGAGGTTTGGGGGTCATCTTTCTTGATACCATTTCAGAGACTAGGATGCATTGATTATGATGGGGCCAGGGCAAGAAGAGGACCTGGGTATTAGAAACGTTTGTGAAACCTAGGGTAGGAAACAACACTTCGACCTGGTGGGTCAATATTCATCAATAAAGTATGTATGCATATATATGTATGTATGTATGTATGTATATGTATATATACATATATACATATATATATACACACACAGACACACATATATATATATATTAGGGGTTCATGTTAACTTTTAGGTAGCAAAAGTATTCACATGCTGACAAAAAAAATACTCCACCTTCTTTATAAGGATACTACTGTTATTAAATATTGATTTTATTCACTTGTAGTTTTTGAAATAGAATTTTCTCATGATCCAGAATTGGGCTTATTGAGGTATCTGGCTTTATCAGACTGGCTCATTCCCACTTAACAGATCTTGGTTGACTTTGGTCTGTAGAATCAGCTGGGTGAGTGCAGGTACATGTACTACAATGTAATCTCCTTTCCTCTCAATTTAGAAATCCCCTTATTGAACTTTACATACTTGTTAAAGGAGCTGTAACTCAATTATACAGAGTCAAACTGAGAGATACAAAGTATAAAGATATCCCACTTTGGAGAACATAAGAAAATCTCAACTTTTTTTTTTAAATAAAATATGATGATTGCCTCTGTTACTATACGTAAAATTCAGAGTGGTCGTGCCACTGACTTCTGCTTATTCCTCTGACTTCTGCCTATTCCTCCCCAAATATCTATTTTTAAGGGATTACACTTGCCAATGAAATGGTATTCATGAGACTGTGCTGTAAGTTTTGAAGATAGTACCAAAATTGGTTTATTTTATCCTGATACTAGATAATATTTAGATGGCATTTCTCCTCTCTGAGAAATAGCATATGATTGATTGCTTTAGAAATAGCTAGACTTGTTTTATTTTCTGTCACAGTTTGGACAGGAAACTAGGGCTTTAACTTTGGGCTTACTTGTATCAATAACCTCCTAAGGCTAGGAGCAGAGAGAATTTGGTTTATCCTCTTAGCTAACTTAGTACCCAATGTCATAAATACTTTGTGTAACTGCAATGGCAATAGACATGTGAATGTTGCTTGCTTCCCAAGTGGATTTTAGATCTAAAGAACATACATTGCTAGTAAAGTGGCTTAGAGGAAGATATTTGCCTGGCTTTAGATAAAACTGAGACAAGGAAAATGTAATAAACATTATATGGAAATCGACACCCCTTTGTAAAGTGGACTGTTTTATAATGTTCTTAATAAAGTTGAATAGCTACACAAGTGTAATTCACTATGGGTTGTTAACACAAAGCTAAAATATTTTCATGCAGATAGATAAGTGAATAGTCTTACAATTGATGACAGAGGCAGAGAGCAGTCACTTAACTATAAAAACAACACTTTTCAGTTATTTCATTGTTATAACTCCAGCCCTCTGAAACTTTAAGAAAATGATATTTTATTTTTTGTTAGAGTAACATTGATTATGCCATTATATAAAGTTCAGTGGTTCATTGTTGAGAATCAACATGTGTGTCTACAACATTAAGTTCACTCCTGAAAGTCCAAATGTATCTTTCATTGTCCTATTTCCCCCCAATTTATTCACTCTCCCTTCCTGCTTCCCTTCAGGTAAGCATTAACTGGTCTTACAATACAAAAATTTTTTTTCATAGATTTCATCCTTTTCATAGCTGAGTAGTATTCCAGTCTCTGTGTGTATGCGCATATGCATAGGTCACATCTTCTTTATCCAACGGTTAGTTGATGTGCTCTTTGGTTACTACCAGTTCCTGGTTATTAAACATGGTGTGATAATAAACATGGAGGTGCTTATATCACTTCAAACTTGTGCTTTTGCATTTTTTAGGTAAAAATACCCAAAAGTGGGATAACTGAATAATACATAATTTCTATTTTTAAGGTTTTAATCTGGTAAAACATGATTCAAGTATAGATGTTCCTAATCACAAAGGGAGAGGTGAGAGGTACCAAGCAGTTACTGTTTCATGCAATTCTAAATCCATTGGCCAGATATTAGAAGTTCCTTAATCAATTTAAGGTTTGTAAATACTCAATAAGGGCTTGAAAGAAATGAGAGGCTTTTTTAAAAAAGTATAGCCATACTAACATTTCACACACATAAATATTTCATATCTAATATTCAGTTCTTAAAAATACCCCCAACTATTTCATAATTATCTTTTATAGTATGTTTGTTTAAATCACAATTCAAAACAGGATTTATACAGAACATTTGACTGATATATTTGTTTCAAAACCATCAATGACTTAGATACTTTTTCATTTACTTATTACTTGATTTTCAAATGATAAATAAATGGCAACTTCCTCTTTCTGCATTTACAATAAACAGAAAATGTGTTCAATTAGATTCAATTCAATCTCCTTCCAAAAAATTCATGGTTGGTGTTGTCTACTGTATCATAGCAGGAGGTCCATAATGTCTTGTCTCTTTTTATGATATTAAAATTGATCAGGGGGTTCAAAGTATCTTAGCTGGCTCCACATATTATAAAATTCCTCCCTTGACTTTTTGCTTAATGTTTCTAGTAGTGATTGATAATTATAGCATACAAGCATTATATCTTTAACATTTGCAAAACAGTGATGTTTAAAAAACAAGATTCTTTTAAGCACTATTTGGTTATCCCCAAGACATTGTTCAGGTGGAAGGCAAGATAAATACTTATTTTTTCACTTTGAATTTACCAAATTTTTACAGTGACCCCTAATGAAGTCTTTTTAAAAGCATTATTATCATTAATTCATGATTTTTAAAACATTTAAAGCATTTCAATCCACCACAGTCAGTATTTTAAATAATGGCCCTAACTTAATATTCACTGGGGCGTCCTTCAAATTAGCTCTAGTATCAGGCTTATGATGGTGCAATCTCCCGGTCAAAGGTGAGTGGAAACTCTATCCAGACTTGGCACCTAACCTGACTTTAATGCTGTGACCTTGAATGTGACTCCAGCAGCCTAGACTTTTCCACATCCTGTCAATTGCCTGAATTCAGCTTTCTCAGGCAGTCATGTAAACTAACATTCTTTCAGTGAATTCTTTTGTATTTAAGCCAAGAATTCCAACTGATCAAAGAGGAAGGAACAGAAATTGAGACACCAGTTAACATTAGGTAGAGTGAAAAAACAAATTCGGTGAAGGGCAATATAGTATTTATATAAATTAAAACCATGGTGTGACAATATATTTTGTCTAGGCAAAGCATATTATAGACATTGAATAGTGATAGAAGTTGGGAGATTCAATGGACGGTGGATGAAAATGATGGATGTGCTTGTGTTTTGAAAGCTGGACTAAAGGACAGAGATAAAGTCACCTACCTCTGGCTCTACAATTTCCTAGAAATGTGAAAGATTATGTCAGATCACTCACACCCAGGTCAAATTAAGAAGAAAACATTTTTTGAAAATAGTACAACTATTTGCGATTTTAAAATTTAGTGTATTTTAAAAATATTGTGCATGAGAGTAAAAAGTCTGAAATGTTAGTTATCTGTAGAAATGACAGGTGAGAAATCAAAAACTTTATTTTTTTTTTTTCAGCAGCATACGGCAAGTTGATTAAGGAAAAAGAGTAGAAAGGAGATGTCTGCATAGACACAGGTGGGCAGTCAAACGGGACAAGGTCGGCTCAAAAATACTTTTAGCATTCCCTCATTTGGTTTTGACTCTCCCTCCAAAGCCCATCTACTGTAAAAATTGTCTCCTTAGTATACCTTGAATTTTTCAAAGAGGTATGCAATACACAAAGTTCCTAATTCTGCAGAGAGCCCATCTAGATCTCCCCACTTTCAGAGAAGTCATCTCCAACATCACAATGTCTTGGTTTTTTCATTGTAAGACATTGAATATGTCACTTCCCCTACATGATTTCTGATCACCGCAAAAACTATTTAATTTAGAACACATTGTCTTCTTAAAGAGGACAAAACTGAAGAATCAAAATGTGCCCAGGAGCTCACAGCTGATTGATTGGTAAGAGCTCCAGCTAGGGCCACTACATATTTACCTTTGGACACATATCTGCAGGTAGGATAAAGAGTGGATTTGAGGGGTAGGTACAGGTACTGAAGCAGAATGGTAGAATGGGTCTGTAAGACAAAGGATATTTGAGATTGTAAAATTGCTGGGGTTTGGTGATGCACTGGCAGTGAGGAGAGAGGGAGGAATCAAAGATGGTTCCTGTCGCAAGCAAGAAATAGGTTTCAGTCAGAGGTTGGCTCTCAAAGAGGATTTTATTTATATTAAGCAAAAACCAACCCAAAGTGCCTTCAGCCAAAGTCACAGCACAGTATGTTCTGGAAGTCTCTAGGCTTAATTTGGTCAGTGAGTTTGTTTACATTGCATAGGTCATATCTACATATCCTTACTCATGTCTACATATGCTCCTTACAGGCCCCCTATTTCTGCCTTGGGTCACCTGATACATGGGTTATATAGACTCTGGCACAGAAGAATGGGCCCTTTGCCCTATTCGACAAAAAATTCACTAAAGAGAGCTAGATGTAGGCTAGCACTTTGGAATTGTTTATTAGAGACTCATACATGGGAGAAATAGTACTAGAAAGGAAAATTTAGCCTGACTCCAAGAAAGGCTTTAGGAGGAGATACTTAAAGGGTAGGTACATCCAGGGTCCTCCCTGGTGGCGCGGCAGGTTAAAGCACAGCACTAAGAAGCTAAAGTCACTTCTGCATGAGTTCGATCCCCGCCCCGGAGGTGACCCACATAGCGTGGCAGACCTCTCCTGACCCGCCTGCTGCTCCCCTCAGCAGTGTATTTCATCACATCAGCCTGTTCGCTCCTCGCTGTGTCTCTGGTGAATCCTATCACTGCCCCTGCACCTCTGGCCTATACCCAGTTCTGTATGCATAAATAAATCTTAAAAAAAAAATCATAGCTAGTTCTGGGTTGGCCTGTAATCCACTATGTACAGACAAGTAACTGCCAACTGTATGTGCAAGTTCTCGGCCTCCTCCCCCAGAAATTGTGAGATTATTCTTGTGTTGTGCCAAATTGTTCAGGATGCTGGGACAGGGCTCCCCAGTCCATGATTTACTCCACCTACTCAAACAGTTCCTTGAGTAATTCTTACCTAATGGCTCACAAGTTCACAATTTGTGTTATCAGGCTGTTTCAGATGGTGTCATGGGATGGGGTGGGTGGGGTGAGGGGTAAGGGTTGGTGGATGAAGGGGTTGCGTAGAAGGGAGGATTACTGAAGGGAGTTTGGCTCTGGTCAAGAGCATAGTCTGACTGTAGGCTTCTAGCCACTGACAGGAGAATATACCTTATGAATAAACCTCATTCATAAGGTTTTGAGGTTTTTCTTAACTTTAAGGCTTGACAGCCATAAAGGCTCAAATGGCACAACGGCCGCTGGTGTCACAACGACCAGAGAGTACTAGCGTCCTGAGAAGAGAGAGCCAGGCCCCAGATCCCAAGGTCAAGCCCCAATACAATTTAGGACTTGGCAGCAGGAGGAAAGAGAAACAGGGAGCCGCGAGGCGCTCCAGGGAGAAGCCCCGCCCCCGCGCACAACGGCTCCGCCCCCACGCACTCCGGCCCCGCCCCCGAGCACGAAGCCCTGCCCCGCACGCAGGCGCTCTAGTAGGGTGTCCGGCGGGTTCCCGGGGAGCGGGTGAGCGAGGTGCGGCCTGCCGGGTCACCTCCTCCTTCAGCCGGCTCTTCGGGCTGCCATGGCGCTCCGGGGCATCTCTGTAGTGGAGCTGGCCGGCCTGGCCCCTGGTCCGTTCTGTGGCATGGTCCTAGCGGACTTCGGGGCGCAGGTGGTGCGAGTGGACCGACTGGGCTCCGCCGGCGACGTGAGCCATTTGGGTCGGGGCAAGCGGTCGCTGGCTGTGAATCTGAAGCAGCCGCAGGGAGCGTCGGTGGTGCGGCGCCTGTGCGCCCAGGCGGACGTGGTGCTGGAGCCCTTCCGCCACGGTGAGCCCCCGGGGCCTCCGCGGGGCCACCGCGGGGCCGGGCCGGGGAACGTCCCCGCAGGAGGGAGGGGCCGCCCCGTTTGTGGGAGGCCAAGCCCACACCGTCTTTGCTCCTTTGCTTCGGGGACGCTTCCCTGTCAACTGTCTTTCTAGACCTTTTCGTTGCATTTGATAAGGTCACATTTCCCGTGAGGTGATTTTCCACATTTGCACTTTCCAGCTTTTTGCTAATGACCCACTTCTATTCATATGCCTTTCTTAGTCTTTTGAGGGTCCTAAACCCTGTGAGAATCTTGAAAAGCCTTCTGTTCTCTGCCAGGCTTTGGGCAATTTTACTACCGTTTTGGGGGGGACAGTTAACCTTCTAAAACCACCTCCTGACTCAGGCTAACGCCCCAGCCCTAAATGCTGGTTCCCAGGTCCCAGCCTCGGCTCAGTTTTGCTTTTTTTACCCTCTGCTCTGGACCACACTATTGATCCCCATTGTTCGCACCTTTTCTAGACTGAGGATGCTCAGACCTGTAACTAGACCTCCCTCTTACAGAACAGCAAACTCTGGCTTCCTCAGGTCCTGAACATTTCCACCTGGCTGGCTGTCTCCCAGGCACTCCAGTTGTCAGACATCGCGTACATTGCGAAACAGCATCTCTATCTTTTGTATTACTAGTCACAGTGATTAACACCCAGTTGCCTGCTTCAGAAATTGTGCTTCCCCTGTGACTGCAAATCTTCCTATACCCCACCCCTCCCGGTGACCCCCGGTTCACTCATTCTTCCTTTCTTCGGGCCAGGGTTCTCTCTCTCTGCACCTGGGCTGCAGCTTCTCTGACACCATCATAAGTCTTTTTAAAGCCAATGCTTGCATCTAGCACCACGCTGATCCTTTCTCTACAGCTGCCAGAAGTAATCTTAGCTTTTCAGGTTATTATAGCTGTAAGTTGTACATGTTTGTTGATTGACTTCCAGGCACTTAAATATAATTCTCCCACATAGCCAGATTTGAAGGTTATGATCATAGTAATTTAATACATAAGATGGTGTTATAATTCAATAATTACCCCATTTGAAGATGAACTAGATGCAACATGGTTAAGTAAATTGTCCTAGGTGCCTTAATTAGGGGAAAGGTGAAGCTCTAAATACATTTGTAGCCTCCAGGTGAAGGGTTATGGGTGCTGTTTCCTACCTAGGAAACTAAGTTCTTTTGTAATTTAAGACAGTTTTGACAAGACAGAGTTTATTAAGTAATCTTTATTGCTTTGATACCTAGGGACTTTGTGTTGGTACCTGGATATTATGCAATAAATATTGTACTTGATAATTTAAGAGCTCTCAGGTGCTGTTGTAATTAACCTTTCTTTTCACAGATACTTACTGAGCCTTTTTTTGAAGGCGCTGATGCTAGGCATTGTAGAGACCTGTGAGAATAGGTCAGGGGAGTCCTGTGGGAGCACCTTCTAAGCTGGTAAGGAATCATATATAGACAGAAGTACAGCTTGAGGCAGAAGATGGCACTGATGTTGGCATGGAAAAAGAAAAGGCCCTAAAAATCTTTCAAAAGCAATTTTTTAACCAAGTAATGATCTAGGGTAACTGTTTTCAAGGAAACAAACCACTTTTAACAAATTACTAGTGAGAAGGTCCAAGAAGTTGTAAAGGGACTGGCTAAATGTATGAAATGCGCACCCCAGGTATTGAAGAAATGTAGATTTGCCTGAAGGGGAATAGGGAAGTTCTAGAAGGAAGTAGTGCCATAGGGCAGAAAGCACACATCCCAAAAATGGTGGCCTCACTCTGGGTCGTTATTACTAGAATCAATCTGTAAGCCAGTATCAAATGTTATTGGTATGACTGCAAGAGGGTTGTTTCATGTGTGCTGTGTGTCCCACAGAGGAAGCATTATACCCATCCTTGATTCATGCTCTCATAGAAAAAGTGGTGATTTTTTTCTTGAGGTGTCATGGAAAAACTGCAGCTTGGCCCAGAGATTCTGCGCAAGGAGAACCCAAAGCTTATCTATGCCAGGTTGAGTGGATTTGGACAATCAGGAAAATTCGCTGAGAGAGCAGGTCATGACATCAACTATTTGGCTTTGTCAGGTATGTTGAAAAATAAATTTCTCTACGTTCTATTTGTTTCCAATCAGGTTCTGCAGTTAAACTTATTAAAAGGAATGTTTACGATGAAAATGTAAATATCAGAATCAGTAAGAAGGAGCATAGTTGTTTAAAAAGGGTTAATTTGTCTCTTCCATCTTTCCCCTTGAGGGATAACATACTCTCCCTGGGAACATTTACTTACTACAGTAATGGAGTCAACTCTCAGGCAAACCCCTACAAAGAAGTAGGAAACATAGGTGTAATGGAAATGGTTCTCCGTGTTGTGAAAATTCTGATGAGTCTGATTCTGACACTCCTCTTCCCCAACCTGTATTGAAAATCATCTGAGTCACCATTTCAAATGTCTGTGAAAACTAGAAAAAGCCAATGGTTTTCAGGCTGTAATATCACGTTATTAAAAATGTTGCCTGTAACTATGTCTTGGAATGGCCTAAATCTTAAATTCTGCAAATTATGTGTTGTTGATTAAAGGAAGTCTCAATTTTCCTGTGAGGACACATTTAGTTAAAGAATGGGTGTAGCTGCATGGGACTTGGTGATGGCACACCATAGTCGGTGATGGGAAACCCATGGGGATTACAATTGAGATGGAAAAAAAAATTTTCCAAATTGTTTTAACATTAACTTTTTTTTTTCTTTAAAAAAAAAGAATGAGTGTAGCATTGATTTTTCATATCTACTTTAAAGTGTAATCCTTTTCTTTTTTGTGTGTCTGATTATTTTCTTTCATCTCTGAAATAAGAATGAAAGTCCACCATACTGTGGCTAAGGCATCAACTCAATTTTCCCCAAACTTCTTCAGTAAAAAACTTAGTGGTAAAATTCTTAAAAGAGTATAAATAAAGTTTTAGAGAAGTAAAAGACAAAAACCTAAGTCCCTTGCTGGAGGGGGAGCCTGTCGATAAATACGTTGAATGGGTCTAGGTTTATGTACTAGTTTTCACTCACGTCAGCAACTACAGAGTTGGTTATTTCTCTAAGATGTTCATATATTTGCTTAAAACAGAGTTTAAATGTGCAGTTTGTGGTTCCCAATTTTTTTTTTTTACTGCTGTAGGTGTGCTGTCTAAACTGGGCAGAAGTGATGAGAACCCATATGCCCCGCTGAATCTCCTGGCCGACTTCGCTGGGGGGGGCCTTATGTGTGCCCTGGGCATCGTGCTGGCTCTCTATGAACGCGCATGTTCTGGCAAAGGGCAGATCATTGATGCAAACATGGTAAGTTCACCAGAGAGGGAAGGGGTGGGGAGTGGTGAAGAGGCCTGCGGATTGTTCGCCAGTATGACGTGGCAGCCTCACATCCTTTCCTGCACACAGTAATAGAAACATGAGATTTGAAGTTTGATGCAAGTGCTCAGAGATAACCCTTCCTTTTCTTCATATGCAGCAGAATGCCCTATTTGCATCATTTGTTTTTAGAGTCAGCTTTCTAAACCTTTTGTGATTCCCTGGACTCCTGTGTGGTTGTTCCACAATTTTCCAAAGTTATCTCTTACTCTAAGAATATAGTGTACAAGCACTCCACATTCAAAACTATCCTCTGGAAGTTTTTTTTTTTCAACAGATGGAGAAGATTTTTTTTTTAAAGATTTATTTATTTGTGTATACAGAACTGGGGTACAGGCCAGAGGAGCAGGGGTGGTGAGAGGCTTCACCAGAGACAGAGTGGGGAACAGAACAAGCAGATCGACAAAATACACTGCTGAGGGGTGCAGTAGGAACTCATGCGGAAGTGGCTTTCTATTCCCAGTGCTGTGCTTTAACCTGCTGCGCCACCAGGGAGGGCCCCCAGATGGAGAAGATTCTTACGGGTACAAAAGTAACACAGATCAGTCCAGCGTTTTTCTTGTAGGGGGCTCCCAGCATCGCAGTGCTTTGTTCTTTTCACTCTTTGACTGGTCACGGTCCCTGTGAGTTCTTCTAATCCTCAAAATAATGCTTCACTTTGGAACATGTTGGTTTTTTTAAAGAGGAGAAAACTAAAGAATCAAAATTCGTCCAGGAGCTCACAGCTGGTTGGTAAGAGCCCCACCCAGGGTCACTACACGTTTGGGTTTAGACACATCTTGGAGATAGGATGGAGACTGGATTTCAGGGAGACAAGACTGGAGGCACAGAGACCAGTTACCGGGTTCTTGCTGAGGGCTAGGGATGCGTGGTGGAGCAGTTATGGCAGAACGGGCTTGCATTCGAGGGCTGTTTGAGCTGTACCCTTGCTGGGGTTTGGTGATGCATTGGCTGTGAGGGGAGTGGGAGGAATCAGATGGGTCCCCTACTTCTGCCTTGGCTATCTTGATGGGGGGGGGGCAGGTGTCATTGGCATCCTTGGGGAAAGACTGCTGCAGGAGAGCCAGTTTGGCTCAGTGGCCAAGAGCACCCCAACAACAGACTTCTGCACCCCAGTGGTGCCATTTACTAGCTCCAAGATCTCGGGTGAGTGGTGGCCTTACTTAACTTCCCTATGCCTCAGTTTCCTTCTTTAAAAGGGAAAGAGTGTTATGTACTGCCTGGTAGTGCTGGAGAATTAATGAGTCCATCCATTGTTGACATTGTAATCAGTGGTGGCACTTTGTAAAATTTGTTATTGTGATGTTTATTCTGAGAAGAAAAGGAATCAGGTTTTGGCCTTTCCAAATCTGGAGTCCCTTCCAGGTACTTGGGACTCTTGGAGTCAGGGACTAGAAACAGGTTTCAGTGTCTTTGGGAGACACATGCGACAATGTGGCTGGCCCGCTAGTGGGGGGGATACAGGCCCCGGTTTGAGGAGTGAGCAGAAGAAAAGTTAGGGCCAAGATGGCCACGAGGAGAACCCGAGGGGATGGTTGTCATGGAAACAAAGGAAAGCAGATGTGCCAAGAAAAAGGAACGGTCAGAAGGTGAACCGGAGAGAACTCCGGAGTTTAAAACTGAGCCACGTAAATTGGACTTGCTCTTAGTCACCTTTGCAAACGCAGTTTCCCACCAGAATCCCCAGTCTTGGGACGTTGGCTGGCACCTCCTGCTGCGCTCAGGCTAAACACCCGCGTGGCCTTGCCCTGTTTCTGTGCCATCAGGGAACATCTCACATTGCCCGCTGTGGGCTGTGGCGGTGGCTGAAGTGATTTCAGTGTGTGGTTGACCTTTTGTGCCCTGGCCCAGTCAGAGCACACTGACGGTAGCGACAGCAGCCGCCCACCTGCTGTAGCAGTCAGCTTTGCGTTGGCCTATCCTCCTGGGAGCACACGCGCCCAGAGCGGGGTGTGTTCGCTCTCATTTGGTCTTAGAAACTTTCCCACTTGCATGGGTTAAGGCCCCGAGAGCTGGCTGCTGGAAAGGCGCCCAGGCAGTTTGACCCTGCGGGTCATCGCTGCCCTCTGCTGGCCTCTCTGGGCATGGTCCCGAGTGCACTGCCTCCAGGCTTGGAAAGGGAGTTCAAGGCTGTATACTTAGGAATCTTTTGAAATAATTACTGCAGACAAGTAATTGCTTTTCTATAATCTTATTAAATAGAAGACCATTGCTGCTTCATCAGATGCTGTCTGCTGAAAGAATTACATGACGAATGGGATAATAGTGAGATTTTTGTGTCTGTGAAAATGTGAACTTCAGTCCGGCTCGTGTTTGCGTGAGGGCATAGAGAGTGTTGGGTAATTACCCAAGGCCAACCGGTGCATTAAATGCATCATCACTTCCTCGTGTCCAGGAACCCTTGTGACACAAATAGTTGTGGGAGTTGATACGGAAAACCGGTAACTTGCAATCTTAGACTAGCGGTTTTCAAATGTTAGTGCCAGAAACATGACCCAGGTTAGTGTGTGGTGACCTGGGAGCTTTGCTTCCTAGCGCTGTTTCCTTGGTGACTCTGCAGTGAAGTGTGGAAAACAGGATCCATTTTGCTGCATTCATCCCTGCTCTGGGGCGATACCCCTGACCTGAGGGCAGGGGGAGGGGGTGGCCCAGGGGCTCTGAGACCCCATGATGACCGCGATGTGAAAGGCCAGTGGGAAATGTAGACTGTGGTTCCTGTGTGTAGAGGGGTTCTCATCTGTGGCCACGTGCTGTGTGGGCCAGGGGACAAGGGAGGTGTGCCCCTGGTAGCTGTGACAAGAACTTGTTGTACTGCAAAGGAGAGATGGGATTAGGTTAGAGCCATTTTGAACCCCAAATGAGCCCACCTGGACTTCGAAGTCTAATAGGACATCTTTTTTCAACAGACCCGTCAGTACACCCAGTATAGAAGAGGGATTGCGTGTGTGTGTCCGTATGCATATCTAAGATAAACTCCACTGTTTGGTGATGACAGATGTTCTGGACATAAATCGAAGTGTACATGAGATTTAAAGTAAAAAGGGAACATTGAGATGTATCCAAAGATAGGTTTTGTGTTTGCTTCACAGCTACTAATTGGGAGAAATTCCATGCTCATGGTTTGAATCAGTCGGTAACCTGGGAAATAGAAGGCTTTGATGGCTTTCTCCCAGGGGTTCAGGAGTCACCCGACTGTAAAAGCTGTGATGACAGGGGTAGCCCTTGTTCCCTCGGCCAGTGAGCCAGCCTTGTGATAATGAGTTTTGTGATAACAGGTTTGGAATTCCCAAAGTCAGTTGTCTAGCCTCAGAAACTTATATCCTTGCTACTGGTATTATGTTTCTGTCGTCACTTTTTAGTGATTATTCAGTATTCATCTATAGTTTTCTTAGACTTGGAGTCAAACTAGAATAAGCTAACTTTAATTATGTTTTACTTTTTTTTTTTTTAAGATTTATTTATTTGTGCATACAGAACTGGGGTACAGGCCAGAGGCTCAGGGGCGGTGAGAGGCTTCACCAGAGACAGAGCGGGGAGCAGAACAGGCAGATCGACGAAGCACACCGCTGAGGGGAGCAGCGGGTGGGTCAGGAGAGGTCTGCCACGCCATGTGGTCACCTCTGGGGCAGGTGGGAATAGAACTCATGCAAAAGCGGCTTTAGATTCTCAGTGCTGTGCTTTAACCTGCTGCACCACCAGGGAGGGCCTAATTATGTTTTACTTTTAAAATAAGATATGCTTCATGTGTCTGTCTGTATGTGTAGGTCCAGAAGACAGATTTTTAGAAATCCTTTTACTTTATTTTTAGCCAACTGTTTATAACATACGTAAATGTGCAGTCACTATATACCGAACTTCTGCGTATGTTTCACCTAGCTTTAAAAATGACCAGCATTGGTGGGAATGCAAACTAGTACAACCACTATGGAAAACTGTTTGGAGTTTCCTCAAACTGCTAAACATGGAGCTTCCCTACGACCCAGCAATCCCACTCCTAGGTATCTACCCAAAAGACACAAAAACACTGATTGAAAAAGATACTTGTACCCCCATGTTTATTGCTGCTTTATTTACAATTGGAAAAACATGGAAGCAGCCCAAATGCCCAAAAGTAGATGACTGGATTAGAAAGATGAGGTACATATACACAATGGAATATTACTCAGCAACCAAAAAAGAGAAACACATGTCTTTTGCAGCAACTTGGATGGAGCTGGAAAAGATCATGTTTAGTGAGATAAACCAGAAAGAGAAAAAAAAATACCGGATGGTTTCACTCATAGCAGGAGTATAATGGACCAGGCGAGAAAATAACAAGAATAATGAACAACCATATACCAGAGACATTTTGTGGGGGTGGAGTGGGGAATGGGATCAAAAACGGGGGGGGGGGAGGGAAATGCATGGGATTATGGTGATGGCACACGGGTGACTTGGTGATGGCAAACCCACAGGGATTACAATTGAGACGGGGGGAAAAAATGTACAAAATAATGTAAAAATAAACTTTTGTAAAATAAAAAAAAAAAATGACCAGCATTGTAGACAACTATCAGTCAGTGATATTCCACAGGGGAGGAGGGGGGGACAGAGACCAGAGGGAGGGTGGGCAAACACAAGGGACTATGGAGAGGGTGCATGGTGAATTGGTGGTGGGAATTCTCTAGGGACTACATCTGAGAGAAGAAAGCAAACATTGTACAAAAATGAGCAGCGGTGTAAAATATATACAACTAAATCAATTATATATTAAAAGACCTCTGCAAATCATGAATTAAATTGTTATCCTATGAAAATACATACATTTCCACACCCCCAAAATAGAGGTATGAACTTGTACCACTGAATCACATATAATGTAAATCAAAGTACTTCAATTAAAAATTACAATAAAAAATGATCAGCATTTTGACAGTCTCGTTTGAAAGAGAAACCAAGTCTCCTTGGAGCAGTAATTTCTGAACTGACTAGTTCGGAAACCAGCTCCACCGTACATTTGCACTAACTGAATTCCTCAACGAAACACCCTAAGTAGCCGTGATTCATGTGTTTATTGATGAGTTGTCTGAATTCAGATTGTATTCTTTTTCTTCACAGGTGGAAGGGACAGCCTATCTCAGCTCTTTTCTGTGGAAAACTCAAGAAAGCGGTCTGTGGGAACAGCCTCGAGGCTACAACTTGCTAGACGGTGGCGCCCCTTTCTACACGACCTATAGGACAGCAGATGGGGGGTTCATGGCCGTTGGCGCCATAGAGCCCCAGTTCTACAAGCTGCTCATTCAGGGTAAGTATTTCATGCGCTCCCTCTCCTCTTACCTGTGCCTGTCTTTAGTTTCTGTTTGAGGGCCCTGCTGACATTCTTGATCTCTTTCATTATCCACTTTATGATGAACATAATTAGGGCCATCATTAGATTGTGCATTTGAAAAAAAAATTGATAGGTAATTTTACAAGGCTACAAAAATTGTTTTGGGTTTTGAAAACAATCCCTACTGTGAGAGTTCAGTTTGTTTTACATTTTCTACTGGGTGGTTTGAGATACTTTTCCTGACCTGAGCGCCCACGCTGTATTCTTCCTTAAAAACGGGACTGTGGTGATGGCACACAGGTGACTGGTGGAAGGAAGCCCACGGGGATTACAACTGAGATGGAAAAATGCACAAAGTGAAGAATGATGTAAAAAAAATAAAAACAGGCCCTCCCTGGTGGCACAGCAGAGCGGGTTGGAGCGCAGCACTGCAAAGCTGGCTGTGGCCGTTTCAGTCTGAGTTTGATCCCCAGCCCGGAGGTGACCCACATGCCAGCAGACCTCTCCTGGCCCGCCCGCTGCTCCCCTCAGCAGTGTACTTTGTCCATCTGCCTGTTCTGCTCCCCGCTCTGTCTCTGGTGAAGCCTCTCACCACAACTGCCCCTCTGACCTGTACCCCAGTTCTGCCAGTACATGTTCTTGATCGATGTCTCAGAGCGGCTTCATGTCAGGCAGCGCCAGAGCACCAAGAGACTTTGATGACAATTTCGATGAACTCCGCTCTTGTCACTTGATGCATCCACAGTTTACCTTGCAGATTCTTGTTTTAGTGACATGTTGCCCCAAGTGAGCAGAAGAAATGGGATCTCTTCTTCCTTAATTAAATAATTGAGTTGAATATATTTTGTTTCTGTGAAATCTTTGCATTTAACATTTTCTTATACAGATGATTTAGTGTCGAAGGCGCTTCAGAACATACTATGAAGCGGAGGCACCCTGGTTACGCTGCATCTGCCTTCCAGCTTTGAGTCTGGTGTTTCACTGTCATGTGTGATAGCTTTTCAGGTGTGCCGGAGACCAGCTCTGGTGAACTGGATTGAGAGAGGAATCTGAAAGAATCTTGAAATAACTGATAGACACAAAGTCTAAGAGAAGCGGGACCCAGGGGACGCCGGCTTCTCAGCCCTAGCACAAGCGTCCCGCATGCCTGGTGCAACTCTTTTTTTTTTTTTTTAAGATGTATTTATTTATGCATATAGAACTGGGGTACAGGCCAGAGGTGTGGGGGTGAGAGGATTCACCAGAGACAGAGCGGGGAACAGAACTGGCAGTCGAAGAACGCTGCTGAGGTGAGCAGCGGGCGGGTCAGGAGAGGTCTGCTGTGCCATGTGGTCACCTCCAGGGCAGGGATCAAACTCATGCTGAAGCAGCTTTTGCTTCTCAGTGCTGTGCTTTAACCCACTGTGCCACCAGGGAGGGCCAAGCAACTCATTTTTATTAAGACCGACTGCCCCTCTCCCTTTTAGGTTAGTTACAAGGTAAAGCCTTATTCTCTTGGTGTTCAGCATTGATTTGGCACATTTTCACCAAGGTTCTGTGGCATCAGGTAGTTTTGTTCCCACACCTGTTTCTCCTTTAACTTAGCTTTGCTGGCAGAAGAAGGACATCACGGCTGGCCACGGGCCAGTCTTCCAGTCTTGACCTTGAGACTTTCCTTGCTTCTGCACTTTATGCCTCAGGGGTCTATTTTGATGCAACTGAAATGATTGTTCTTGCAAGTGTTAAAAGGCATTTCATAATCATCTATATTGACTTCACCAAATTTGTTATCGTTGGACAAACTGCAGAACAGAATGGTTATCTAGAGTACACAGGCCTTCTTTTTTGTCCAGAAATGAAAACTAAAACCAGAAGTTCTGAATTCACAGTTCTGGCAAAAAGATGCCACAGGAAGGGCTGAGCGGTGGGAGCGACACTCCCAGCCCAGAGCACACCAGGACCCAGGACAGGGGAGCGTGCTCTTACCACGCCTCGGCATCTGTGACTCATCGCTAGGGAGCTCACAGCTGTGGACACTGTGGTTCGGTTTCCATCAGCTTCCTTTATCATCATGCACAAGCAATTCTAAATGGCAGTGATGAGGTTTACTGACCTGAGTACTAAGCAATTTCTGCAGACATTGTTGAGTTCTAAACATACATGTAAGTTTGAGTAGCCATGTTTAATTTCTTATTCTTTCGTAAACATTGCTTTCGGGTTATTCGGAGAACTCCCAGTCTCATCCCAATGTTAGTGTAGTGAGCTCAAAACTTAACTTTCTTTGACTGCAGTTGTTCCACCAGAAGCATAATCATTGAAGGAAAGTTTTCTTTCAGGACTTGGGCTGCAGTCTGATGAACTTCCCAGTCAGATGAGTATAACTGATTGGCCAGAAATGAAGAAGAAGTTTGCAGATGCATTTGCAAAGAAGACAAAGGCAGAGTGGTGCCAGATCTTTGACGGCACAGATGCGTGCGTGACTCCGGTTCTGACTTTTGAAGAGGTTGCCCATCATCGTCATAACAAAGACCGGGGCTCATTTATCACAGATAAGAAGTTGGGCACAAGTCCTCGCCCCGCACCCCTGCTGTCCAATACCCCAGCTACCCCTTCTTCCAAGAGGGATCCTTTTGTCGGAGAACACAGTGAAGAGATCCTTAAAGAGTTTGGGTTCAGCCAGCAAGAGGTTGACAAGCTTAAGTCAGATAAAATTATTCAAAGTCATAAACCAAGAGCTAATCTCTAAGTTCCAAGCCCCATAGTCTAGAGTAATACATACAAGAGTGTGTGTGTAAACTTGAACCAGTATCATAGTGATCTGTTGCTTCTAATTAAGGAACAAGACTGATTCTGATTGTACAGCAACGATTGAATCTTGAAAATGGCTTTGGGCTATTTCACTTTATACTACATATGTCAGTTTTCTACCTCCCAGTTTACTTGAGAGATTATATTTGACGTTAAATTGCTTAAATACTTATACTTTAAATGAATTAATATATTGCTTTTTATTAAATAAAGCTTTTTTCCCCTCAAAAGTACACTGTGCTTTTAAGTTTATAAAATCTGTTCAAGAAATGCTTTAACATTTTGTGACTCACTGGAATATTTCAGTTTTCGCTGGTAACCATAATATACTTCCTTCGGTGGTCAGATAATTTTGATGAAGATATTGTGCAACTTGTGTTTGAACTGGACTTTTAGAAAATGTGCTGGAGGTTTCCTTCAGATAAACTCTCACCCCTCCACCTAGACCGGCCTCCGAGGGCCTGTCTCTGCTGGGTAGGCGCCTGCCAGCACTGCCCAGACATGCCTCCTTCCCTGGGAGCTGTACCCCATCCATCCGAAAGCCCTGCGACACCTTCCTCCTCCTCGCTTCTAGCCTCCACTACCACCATGCCCCCTCCGCCCCAGCGGGTCCTACTTCACCCCTCACTTCATTTAAGCCTCTGCTCAGATGTCACCTGACTCCTGCGTGAACGGTAGCCACCCAATCGCACGCTCTCCCCTCCCTCCTTTCATTTTTCTTCACACTACTTCTATCATTGGTGACATTTATTAGCCCCAAGCTTCACTGCCTCTATGGCACACTAGCATGGGAAACTCTTGGAAGATGTTGTAGGTTTTATTCATGGCCACATCCCCAGTTTCTGGAATAGTGCCTCGCCGTAGTGGAAACTGAGTATTAAAGGAGTGAGTCTGATGTGACGTGTCCACATATCCCTGTGTCTGCCCACCCAACAGCTACTTCAGGCCCCTGCACCTCTTCCCTGGGTTGCTTAAAGCTTCCCCAACCTGACTTTCGCTTTCAGTGTCTGCCTTCACTTCCCCATTGTGTTACGCTAGCACCTAACTGGCCTTTTTGGATCCTGGAAAATTCTCTGTGGCCTTTAGCCCACTGGAATAATAAATACTCTATAGGCCCTCCCTGGTGGCGCAGCGGGTTGAAGCACGGCGCTGGGAAGCTAAAGCCACTTCCGCATGAGTTCGATTCCCGCCTGCCCCAGAGGTGACCACATGGCGTGGCAGACCTCTCCTGGCCCGCCCGCTGCTCCCCTCAGCAGTGTGCTTCATGGATCTGCCTGTTCTGCTCCCCACTCTGTGTGGTGGGGCCTCTCACCGCCCCTGAGCCTCTGGCCTGTACCCCAGTTCTGTATGTACAAATAAATAAATAAATCTTAAAAAAATATATTCTATAAACTCACACAGCACTTTCATTCCATATTAGAAATAAGATTTCTACCTCGCGTCTCTACGCCTGCTCTCCAACACTTCACATTGAACTGCCTGAAGTTCCTAAATTGGCTGCTACCTCTCTTGCTGCCATCCCAGAGCTACCTAATTACCAAGTGGTAAAATGCAAGGGAAGGAATGTTGCAGTGCCATCAGCTGCTGGTGCAGAGGGAGGATGCAATCTCCCAGCATTTGAAGTCTAGTTAATCCACCGGAGGGCTGAGTGCAGGAAACATTCAGGAAAGGACAGAATATTTTTTATCTCAAAAAAGCTTACGAAAAGATAATTGACTCGTTCATATTTCGATTTAACACCTGTGTAGTAGTGCTTGTTTCAAAGCTGTGTGTGGGGAGAGAGAGAGAGAACAGGAGAAAGAAAGATTCCTTTAGAGAAACATTCCCTGGGGCCAGAGGGCTTGCACCGCTAATCTCCCTCATGCTCTCCAGCACCCCGCCCCCTCCCCAGTCCTCCCTCTCATCATAACTTGTGATCTTAAAAGCATGAAAGAACTTGAGCCCCACCCCCAGCCTGCCCTTCTCTGCTGGGGCTCAGCCAGGGTCAAATCCAGCTTGTCGCACAAACCCAGGCCTCCGAGGTGTAGACTTGCCCGCCAACTCCTCACCCTCACCCGGCAGGCGGCCATGGGTGGCAACAGTGGGCAGCCTGGAGTTCACACCTATAAATCCCTTGCTGAGGATGGTGCTTTCGCGGCCACGGACCCGCCCAGAAGACCCACGGGCAGACTGGTCATGCACAGCATGGCCATGTTCGGCCGGGAGTTTTGCTACGCAGTGGAGGCGGCCTATGTGACCCCAGTTCTGCTCAGCGTGGGCCTGCCGAAGGGTCTGTACAGCGTGGTGTGGCTCCTCAGCCCGATGCTGGGGTTCTTGCTGCAGCCCGTGGTTGGATCAGCCAGCGACCACTGCCGGGCCAGATGGGGCCGGCGGAGACCCTACATCCTAACCCTGAGCGCCATGATGCTCTTGGGGATGGCGCTGTACCTCAACGCGGACGCGGTGACATCGGGTGAGCGAACGCACGCGTGGCCAGGAGGGGGGAAGGGTCCGGGTAGCGGAGGAGAAGGCGACTGTCCGTGATGCTGCGTCAGAAATTGATGCGTCATCTCTCCTGTATTACAGTGAGTTTCCCCCCCCCCCTTGGGTTCCAATTCTGAGGTTGGGAGTCTTCATGTTAGTGGGGGAAAAAAATGTCGTTTATTTTTTTAATGAGAGGATTAATTGTTGCATAAGTTATTTCTGTGTATTTAACAATGATAGTGTCTTTTGAGGCTCCCGTGCCTAGTTTTGTGCTTTGTCAAATTAACCAGCTGCCAAACGGCTCCATCAGTATTTACAGTAACTTCCCTGTGTATCCAAATAAGAGTTAGTTCTTGTTCACCACTTTCTATACAGTCTTTTAATGGGTGCGAGGCATCCACCGGCCGACTTCAGGGGACATTTTTGCATTTCCAGTTCTGGACATAAGCCTGTGGGCAAGCGCATTTTCTAGCCATTAGTCAGCCACCAAAATTAATCAGTAATTGGTGGGAATACAGAAAAAGTTGCATTGAAAAAGGATTTGTTGAATTTAAAAATAGCACGCCTTTTTAGACCATTAGCTCTCGGGCTGTCAGAATGGAGGAGACAGGAAAATCAGTTGTCATTTGTATACATTTAAAAGCAGGCAGAGGGACATAAATATAGGGCATTTGGGAAGAATTTACTGAAAGCACTTAAGACTTGCTTCTTGCCGGGCAGTACTAAAGGCCTGAGGGTGGCTTATAGAGCATAGACTTATTTCTCATTTTTTATATGCAATTTAAAAAATGAATCAACTACACATTCTTTAATTAAAAAAATCAACTCAGCAGAGATAAATGTTGAGATTAGGTGAATAAACTGTGGCATGTTCATAGAACGAATATTATTAGCTGCTAATGGTTGTGAAGTTGCTTATCATTAATTAAAGTACAGAGAAGTGATGAGAGTTGGTTATAGGTGAACAAATGCTTGCAAGCTGGTCCCACTAAGTGGTGCACCTCAAAGCAGGGTCCTCTGGACCTGCCTCATCAGTGTTGGGGGCGGGGGGCTGTGAGAGATGCAAATTCCAGCCCCACCTCAGGCCTGCTGAATCAGAATCACATGAGATGTGATTAACAAGTCACCCAAGGAAAGGAGGAGCTCTCTGAGGTCTGGAAAGCACAGCAATAGGGCCCAGGTGTGCACTTCCTCTGTGCAGGGCCATTAAGGGTCATGACCATCACTGGGGAGTCTGGAAAGTACTTCCCCAGAATTATTCTTTGAATGGCTTACAACAAGCATACATAACTTTTTTTTTTTTAAGATTTATTTATTTATGCATACAGAACTAGGGTACAGGCCAGAGGTGCAGGGGCAGTGAGAGGATTCACCAGAGACAGAGTGGGGAGCAGAACAGGCGGATAGAGGAAGCACACTGCTGAGGGGAGCAGCGGGTGAGTCAGGAGAAGTCTGCTGTGCCATGTGGGTCACCTCCCTGGCCACCTCCCTGGTTGGGGAACAAACTCATGCTGCAGTGGTTGGTAATAGCTTCGTAGTGCTGAGCTTTAACCCCTTGCACCACCAGAGAGGGTCACAAGCATAAGTTTTTAAAAAGTTTTTTTTGAAGAGATAGTAGCCACATATAAAATCACCATTTAGAAATGTACATAACATGATGCTTTTTAGCATATTCGAAACGATGGGTCACATAGTTGGTGGTTCATTTGAAATGAAGCCATCATTGCTATGTAATTCCACATTTCATCACCCCAGAAAGAAGTCCACCAACCATTAGCTGTCACTCCCTGCCCCCTCTCCCCCGCCAATGCTGGGCTCCATCTTGTTTGTTTCTATCCATCTGCATTTTATGGACATTTACTTGCATAATTTTTAAAGCTGGAAGAAATAATGAAGCTATTTTTATTTTGAAAAATAAAGCAAAATGAATGCACAGAGAAATAATTTGATGACAGAAAGTTTTGGTGGAAATAACAATGGGAATCATTTGAAACCAGGATTGAGGAGATGGCTGTTTATTTCTCTTTTAGCTTTGATTGCTAACTCCAGGAAGAAGCTGATTTGGGCCATCAGCATCACTATGATTGGGGTGGTTCTCTTTGATTTTGCTGCTGACTTCATCGATGGGCCCATCAAGGCCTATTTATTTGATGTCTGCTCCCATCAGGACAAGGAGAGAGGCCTCCACTACCACGCCCTCTTCACAGGTAGGGAATATTCCAGAAAGTCTCTCTTGCTGTTCCCCAGGCAAGGAGATACTTCTGCTGAACTTGCAACATCTCTGCGCAGTGAATTTGCTGAATGAATGGATCAGTTGATGAACTGCTCATCACGGGGCTGTCCCCCAGTGCATTTCTCTAAGCAGTCAGCTTGTGACAGGGCTGTGGAGTTTTTTCAAAAGAAGTTTACATAAAAGCTTACTGAAGAACCATTTGTGATGACATTTCCAAGTAAAATGAAAAGAGGCCTTATGCACTTCTTTTAAATCAATAATGTAAAGTCAGCATTACTTAGGAGTCTTTTAAAAAAAAAAATATAGTTTCCTGCCCCTCAGCCAGTTATTTCCATTCAGTACTTTTCAAGTGGGATCCAGAAATCTATGTGTTTAATCCTTTGACCCGCACCTGATTGTGACAGGTATCCTAAGAACCATATTTAAAAATAAAAATAGCAATAAATCAAGCAAATTTTAAAAATATCATAGGCAGTTAAAGATTTTAGTTTCATAAAAAGTTGGCATTTCCTACCCAAAAGTAGGATTAAAAAGATATGGTACAGGCCCTCCCTGGTGGCGCAGCGGGTTAAGGCACAGCACTGGGAATCTGAAGCCGCTTCCGCATGAGTTCGATTCCCGCCTGCCTCCTGCCTGGAGGAGACCACATGGCGAGCCAGACCTCTCCTGACCCGCCCGCTGCTCCCCTCAGCAGTGTACTTAGTAGATCTGCCTGTTCTGCTCCCCACTCTGTCTCTGGTGAAGCTTCTCGCCGCCCCTGAGCCTCTGGCCTGTACCCCAGTTCTGTATGCACAAATAAATAAATCTTTAAAAAAAATATTTAAATAAAAAAAAAAGATATGGTACATATACACAATGGACTATTACTCAGCAATCAAAAAAGATAAACACATGCCTTTTGCAGCAACATGGATGGAGCTGGAAGGGATCATGCTTAGTGAAATAAGCCAGAAAGCAAAGGAAAAATACTGGATGGTTTCACTCATAGCAGGAGTGTAAAGGACCAGGGGAGAAAATAATAATAAAAATGAACAACTATATACTAGAGACATTTTACGTGGGTGGAGTGGGCAATGGGATCAAAAATGGGAGGGGGGGTAGAAGTGCTCTGGACTATGGTGATGGCACACAGGTGATTTGGTGATGGGAAGCCTACAGGATTACCACTGAGATGGAAAAATTCACAAAATGATGTAAGAATAAACTATTATATTATTTAAAATAATAATAATAATAAAAAAGTTGGCATTTCCTCAAGTGCTGGTTTGGAAAAGGCCAGGCCAGTGCCTCATTTCTTCATGCACCTGCCAGCCTCCTTGGACACTGCTGGGCCGTCTGTCGAGAGCAGAGCTACTAATGTTCAATACATACTTCTGAAGCAGCACTAGGACACTGCTAGCCCTGGGGGACTCTCACGTCTAGGGGAGGCATGGATCAGTCCTCCCACTGATGGTCTGTGGATAGCTCAAAGCCAGCTCTTTCCCCTACTAAGAAAATAATAACCAAAACCATTTTCCTCTTATAAAACAGCATAGTGAAGTCTCAGTTGTTTTAAGGCTCACGCTTGGAAGCCCCTGTTTAAGTGATCATCACAGAGCAACATTCATAAACATCTCTGTGATCAGCTGGAAAACCTGGTATGTCTTGCTTTGTGTGTTCAGACTGGCTGGTGATGAATACACAGAAGTGTCTGCAGACCCTCTTCTCTTGGGTGTTTACTCATGGACGCAGGCTTAATGAATGGAGTAGCAGTTAGGGTCACCTGTGGTGTTGAGAATGTTGTTCTAGACTTTCTTGCTCTGTGTCCCCATCTCTTTAAATTATGAGTAGCTGAATTCTGTAGAACGGAATGTGTGTAAGTGCACCGTAGTGCTTCTCTGAATTGGAGACCATGTTAAAACGTGGGGTGAGAAGCAGCCCACAGTGCGTGATCCTCGCCAGAACCCCTGCTTTCACGTGATCTTGGTGAAGAGGCGATTCCAGCCTTGTACCGAAAGCAGCTTTTTATGACAATGGCAGATTCAGTGTCAAGACCCACCTTGGTTTTAATCAACAGCAGATACCATTCACCTGAGGACTCCCGTCATCTGAGTACATTGAAATCCTCTTTATTTCAGAGCTGTCATTCAGAGGCAGCAATCTCAAATGCTTTACAAATAAATGTCAAATGAGGTCATTGCCGGAATATTACTCAGGATATTTCTGACTGTTTTTTAATAAAAAACAAAAAAGAGCTACATTTTCAGTGCTCTAGGGTTTGCTACGTGTCACAGTCACTGCCTGTCCTCCATGACTGTGAGGTTGGAGGGCTGCCCTCTGGGTCCTCTCAGTCCACACCTTCCCCTCCACGGGCAGCGGGCAGTGAGGCTTTGGAACCCCCTGTCATTGGCAGGAAATGCCTCCTTTCTCTCCAAAGAAAGACAGAGACTTTGTTTTTCTGTTAGAAAGAAAGACTTTCTAACTGAGCATATTTGTGCTAAATTGAATCCAGGCCTCGCCTGACTGGCCCTACCCTACAGCAGAGGGCTGGGATGAGACCTGTAGAAGAGGCTGTCTGGGTTCAAATCCTGCCTCCTCTTAACTGCTGGGTCCCTTCATGTTTCTGAACTTTCTTATGACAGACCTGTGAATTATTCAAAGTCAGTTGTTCATATCCTAATAAATGGCCCCAGGCTTAAGCAAGGAACCATTTAAAAGGATTTAACACCAAATGTTCATAGTTCCTAGATTTACTCCATCCCCAAGGGGCTTGCAAAGGTTTTATTTGTGGGAGACTTTGAGGATCTTGCCCTAAGTACATTTTTGGAAGAATGGATATATTATGAGGCTCAACCACTTTTAACTTTTCTTCTCTTTTCTATCTACTTAAAGTGTACACACAAATGCTGACATAATAAATGTTCTGATTAGAAATAATTAAGGACTAGGGAAAGAGTCTTAAAAATGAAGTCTAGATGTGGATTCTTTGACCAAATCTTTACACAATGGCAAGGAGCTGTTTCATGTTGAACCTATTTAATGAAAATGAAAACTTGAAGAATATTATCTGCACTAAGGTAGCAATAGTCATTCCTATGCTCAAACAGGAAATTGCTTTTGGAAAAATGATGGGATAATGCAGGTGAGTGCTTTCATGTGAACTATTGTATTGTTGCATAAAACACATTAACAGCTATCAGCAGGAACAAAAATTGGGATTTCAGAGCTTTTGCCCTCCCTGGCAAACATACTCCCCCAGTTCTCTGCATTTATCTGTTCAGTTAAGGAAAACATGATTTTTACATTGGTTCACTATTGTTTTTTGTTTGTTTGTTTGTTTGGTTGTTTTAGCATACAGAATGCTCAGTGATGAGGAATGTTGTGTGAACCTGTAGGTCTGAAGTGTGTGTGAATCCCAAACCTCAAATCTCAGTTCATTTAATTGCTTCCTTGTTAAGCCTCTTTTGCCACAGACATGTAAAAAAACTCCGTCTTAACTCTTTGGAATATTCTCCCATCCCTTCCCCCAAGGATCGCATCAAAGTTGGGGCTTAGAGTTAGTCTGGGGCACAGGGGAACACTGGCCGTTCACTTTGTGTCTGCCATTCTATCATGGCTCACTGGTCAGTTGCAGCTGGCCACAGCTGAATTTCTTTCATTCTTGTCTGCAAGGCCCTTTGGAAACATAAATTCTCACCCTTCTCCCTCAACCCCCTGCCACACTGCTCTCCCTATGCCAAACCATTGTGAGGTGAGCCCATGAGCTTTGGCTTCCTTATTTCTATTAGAGATAAAAGTATAGTTGATTCCTATTACTCATGACTTCTGTATTTGGCAACTCACCAACTGAAAATTTACTTGCCACATCAAAAGCAGTATATGAAGCTCATTTGGATACTTTTCAGATATAAGCAAAGGAGGGAGTATATCTGAGTTGCCCAGTGTTTTCACTCCAGCTGAGGGTCATCGATGTGATACTCTGCTCTCTCATTTTGGTTCTCATACTGTAAACAAATATTCTTTCTTCGTGGCATATTGAGTGCAATGGTTTTTCTTTCACTTGGGGATTGTTTTGTGGTGATTTCACAGTTGAAAATGGCTTCAAATGTCGTGCTGCAGTGCTGGGTGGGGTTTATATGTTCAAGAATGTTCTGTGTGCCATCTGGAGAAAACATGCATGATAAATAAGCTTTGTTTGGGCACGAGTTATAGTGCTGTGGGCTCTGATTTCAATATAAATGAATCAACAGTGGATATTAAATAAGACCTCTTTGAACTGAAACATAAAACTAGGTTCTGTGTTAGTCGGGTGATGAAAATGTTACTAGAGGTTCACAAGAACAGTGGGTTAGTATTCACTAATCCAGTGTCTGTGATGACTTTCTAGAACATAACTTCTCAAAAGCCTCAAGTGCAGTAACATCCTCACAGGGTTGTTTTGAGGCTGAGTCATTGCTTGACACAGATCTGTTCCTCCGTCTACTGATAGATCCATCGACAGCCGCTTCTTCCTCAAGTTCCTCCTACCTTCCTGGAGTCTGCCCAGAAATGAGGCGTGGGTTCTTTCTCCTCCTGGGTCCTCTAAGTCATCTAGGGAGGTTTTGCTTACCACCTACCACCCTCCAACCCCAGATAGACCCAAAGAACAAGTTGCACCTCTCTCTGTTGAGGATTCTTTGCTGCATAAGCACCTCTCAAATGCCATCTCTTCCGGAAGCGGTGCTCTTATGTTTCCTGCTGAACCTTCTCTCATGCCTTGGGAGCCTAAAGGGCTTTTGAAACTCAGAAGCAAAGAAACACAGTCTTGTTTCTCTGCTTTCCATGGTCACGCCCCTTCTCAAAGCAACACAGCATCCTGGCTCAGCTTGACCGTGAAACAAGCGAACAAGGCCAGCCCAGGGGAGTAGTGAGTGGAGGGAAATTGTGGTTGATATTTGAATAGATCACCATCTTTTATGAGAAAAGTTGCACTGCAGATCTAAAAAAAATGCCAGCTTGCTTGTGTTTCTCCCTTTGAACAGAGTGTAAGCGTTTCAAATTGATTTTCCTTGTACTTCCACATTTGTCTTGTCTATTGATGTAGCTCAGTGCCAAGTTCTTTCACTAATAAGTGTAGGCCAGAGTACAGGGAAGTGAGAGGACTCACCAGAGACAGAGTGGGGAACAGAACAGGCTATCCACTGAAGTACACTGCTGAGGGGAGCAGTGGGCAGGTCAGGAAAGGTCTGCCATGCCATGTGGATCACCTCTGGGGCTGGGGATCGAACTCACACTGAAATGGCTGCAGCTCACTTGCAATGCTGCACTTGAACATGTTGTGCCGCCAGGGAGGGCCTGTTTTCTTCTTTTTAAACCATGTTCTCATTATGAGCCAGCCTTAAGGTTTTGTCCACAGATGCTGAATAGTGGCAGGGGTTTTTAGCATATTACTAGACAGATCAAGGGAGCTTGTCAATGTGCACTGGCCTGGAAGTAACTGGATCATCACCTTAATTTGTTTGAAGTCCTCATGTTCTCTTCCCTACAAAATTGTCCCTCTAAAAGCAATAGGAATGTTTATTTCAGTTTAATTCTGCTGTGCCATGTGGGTCACCTCCCTAGCCACGGATTGAACTCATGAGGCGATGGCTGGTGCTAGCTTGTGAAACATTCACCCTTATGCCACCATGGAGGCCCATTACAGTTTTTAAAGAGTAATTGCTTGTCTGCTTCCCCAATTTGGAATGGATGGAAAGGTGTGTCTGGCTTACTCCCCTGTACACCCTTGCATGCCAGGTACAGACTCCTCAAAAGTTATTGAGCCCTTAGACAATGACTGTGATGCTCAGTAGTATAATGTCCAGCCCATCACAGATACACTTGCTTCTTAAAATAGGAACCCAAAAGAATGAACCCTGTTTAATGATACAATTTCAAAACTAGACTATTAAGATGGGACCATTTCTGAGGATCCCTTCCACAGCACACCTCAGTCACACTGTCCCTAAACATAACACCAGAAAGACTTCAGGTTTTTGTTTTTTTAAAAAAATACTAGGATTTACTAGCATTTTTTTTAAAAGACTTATTTATTTGTGCATACAGAGCTGGGGTTCAGGCCAGAGGCTCAGGAGCTGTGAGAGGCTTCACCAGAGACAGAGTGGGGAGCAGAACAGGCAGATGGACGAAGTACACTGCTGAGGGGAGCAGCGGGCGGGTCAGGAGAGGTCTGCCACGCCATGTGGTCACCTCCGGGGCAGGCGGGGATCAAACTCATGCGGAAGCGGCTTTAGATTCTCAGTGCTGTGCTTTAACCTGCTGCGCCACCAGGGAGGGCCTTACTAGCATTTTTTTAAAAAGTCATATTTAAGCTTTTGTTTTTATTTTGTCTGTTGCTATCAGTTGGAACAAGCTCCTTTAGCTCTTAACCACGGAAAGAAAACAGGGTCTAAGGCTGATCTTTGTCAACTTGTAACTCCTTAGGAAATTTATGACTAGGTAAATGAAAGTAAAATTAATTACATCTTATTTCAAAAACTGGTTTTCCTTGGGACTTCTTAAGGTCAGAAATTTTAGACCTTTGGAAAATTGGGATCGTTGGAAAGACCACAAGAACTCTGTTGGTGGCGATTTTATTCAGCTCTCCCTCTGTGTTTGACGTGATTCCACTTCCCAGTCGTGACTGCTAGCGGGCTTCTCTTTCACTGTCACCCTCATATTATGCATGGAGAAAGCCAAGGGCTTTGTCCTCGGGAACTTCCCCCAGAGGGGAGGGCGCAGGCTAGCTGGACAGGGAACATGGTCTCCTGGGTATGCTAATCCAGCTCTCTCTTGCTTTCCAGGTTTTGGAGGTGCCCTAGGTTACCTTCTGGGTGCCATGGACTGGGCCCGTCTGGAACTGGGAAGAGTGCTGGGCACAGAGTTCCAGGTCATGTTCTTCTTCTCCGCCTTGGTGCTCACTCTGTGCTTCATTACCCACCTGTGTAGTATTCCTGAAGCCCCACTTACAGACGTTGCCAAGGAAGTGCCCCCCCAGCAAGCCCCCCAGGACCCTCCTGTGCCTCCAGACAGAATACTCGAATATGGGTCTATTGAGAAGGCTAAGAATGGTTATATAAACCCAGAGCTGGTGGTGGAGGGAGAGAAAAACAAAAATGCTGCTGACCAGGTAAAAATGAAAATTCTTTTTTCTTGGGAAAAATATTCTTGTTCTCGTCCTCTCTTTTTCTGTTAAAAAATGTATCTTTGTTTTGTTTAGTTATTTGCTGTGAAGAGTTTTGTGAAGTCTAATTAACCCTCAAGTCCCCAATAACTATTATCACTTAGAAGTAAAGCTTTGCATCTCAAGGAAAAATGTTTGCGTTTCCTCTGGGCTTCCTGTCTCTACTCTTTTTAGAATATCAAACCAGGGAAGATGAAACCAGTTGTGAAATGTTAGACCATAAGACAAGCCTGGAACCATCTTCAGGCCACCTGCAACTTGATCACTCCTTAGATGATAAGTTGTTCCTTCAAATCACAGCACCTGTGGCTTGGTGACTAGATTGGACAGCTTGAATTTACATTTTCTGAATTGATTAGATAACTCCTTTTAGTCCTTTTCCAGCTCAGGGGAGAGCTGGAGAGAATAAAGAATGGAGAAAACCCTGGGATTAAATGGAGGGGGTTATTGGGAAACATGGTGGTCAGGTGTTGACCAGTTTAGTGCATTGGGATGGGGTTGAGGAGTGTATTTAATAATTAAAAGGAATGAAATCAATCTTGGAATTCCTGTGATCATTAAGATGTGTATTGAAGGTTTAAGACATAATGTGCTTATCACACATGTACAAAATGATCTCCATTTTGAGAAAAATCTACATATATACAAAAAGTGCAAAAATATATTAATCAAAGTTATTTTCTCTGGGTGACATGCTAACAAATGGCTCTAATTTTCTTTTCTAAGCCCTTCAGTATATATAACATATTGATAATGGACAAATACCCTTCTGAACCACTACTGCTTCTTGGCCCATCGATAACTCGCTCTCAGTTCAGTCAGCAGAGGCTGTGTTGAGGAATAGATAAAGCCAAGTAAGCAGAAGCCTTTGAAAGGTATAAAATGCCCCAACTAGGAAGAGATTAAATATATCGAATATAACTTTCTAGAACACGCCACCTACACAAAACCATAGGCTTCAATGGTTTTGCTATTTCATTGGGGAAAAAAATTCAAAAATATAAAACAGAATAACACATCTGAGGCTCAAAGCCAGACATCTAAGTCTTCTGTTCCAAGCATACTTTGGGGAGCCCTCTAGCTGCGCACGGGTGTCTGTGTCAGGGCAAGCACCCTGACACAGGGTGAAAATAATGTGAAAGTTGCTGTGCAGTTTGAGAACTGGGATTTCTTCTTAATGGCAGAAAGCCTGAATTATTTCAGCCTTCAAGCCAGGTCCCCTAAAATTCATCTCCAATCCCGCCTCGCCATCATTGCTGCCTTGAATGTTTAGGCTCCATCTGAGTGCACTCTTGTGACGCCCTCCCAGATGGCTCTGCACGCTTCATTTCAAAGTCTATCACTACCCAGCCTCCAGTTGACAATTTCACAATATACCCAGTAAAACAACACCCAAGGACTCAGAAGCACTGAAAGGGCTTTATTAAGGGAATGGATGAGTCAGGGAATAAGATGCCAGCTAAATTTTCATTCTGAGCTAAAATACCCATGGGGGCTTTGAATATTTACAATCCCAGCTTTTACAGACACACCAGGCACAATTTGAAATCTGGTACTTATTTTTGGATGAAAGGAAAAAATTAGGTTAACAATGAAAGCAGGGTGAACATTATGTATAAGGTAGAAACATAAATTAATATTTAGAATGAAACTTGCTAGCCAGGTCTACCTTTTAAAATTTGGGGGAAGAAAGGGAGAAAAGTGGAGATAAGTGTCTTTGTGGAAGACAGGCTTGGTGTAAGACTTTGTAAAAGGCTGCTCTTCCTCTGTCTGTCCCTTTAGCTTTTTCTGCCTGTGATCAGCACTTCTACACTGAGTTGCTGGCATACCAGCATTTATTTTGGCATACTCCATGACTTTGCCAGTGCCATGCCCAACATACAGAAAACAGTCCTTTTCCTCTAACTCCAAAGGACCATCTCTACCTCCCTGGCTGGGGATCGAACTCTGATCGTGAAAATCAACTTAGTCATGGCTAGTAGATTAAATACTATGAACGCAATGATTTAAACACTCAGCTTATATAACAAACTGATAATGAATAAATATATTTTCTGGGACACAAAAGTGGAAGTCATCATCCTATCAGAATAAGGGTCATAAAAACAATATGCTGTTATAGTTAAAACCATCAGGAGACCACCATACATTAACTAGCCAAGAAGCAACTTCATTATGTCAAAATTCAGAATAAATAAAAGCCTGACAGAAAAGATCAGTCACCTCTTCATGGTTCGTATCATGGTCTCAGTGTCATCAGAGCTGTGACTGCTTATTATTCTGAAGTTTCCTTCTTCTCTCATGTGACAAGGTGGTAAAGGCTGTTTTTTTATATTTAAAAGATTTTTTATCTATGCATATAAGAACTGGGGTACAGGCCAAAGATGCTGGGGGTGAGAGGAATCACCAGAGACAGAGTGGGGAACAGAATAGGTGGGTTAATTGAAATACACTGCTGAGGGGAGCAGCAGGTGAGACAGGAGAGGTCTGCTGCACCATGTGGGTTACCTCCCTGGCTGGGGATCGAACTCATGCTGCACTGGCTGTGGATAGCTTCATAGTGCTGTGCTTTAACCCTTTGTACCACCCAGGAGGGCCCAACTTTTTTTTAAATGTAAAATTTTTAAAAAATATCTTTTTTAAATAAAATGTTCTCCTTGTTTATTCCACAAAATGATATTTCAGCATTAAAAACAGGGATATTTATTTGTTTGTGTGTGTGTGTATAGCTGGGGTGTAGGCCAGAGGTGTGAGGGGTGAGAGGAGTCACCAGAGACAGAGTGGAGCAGAACAGGAAGTCTAATGAAATACACTGCTGAGGGGAGCAGCGGGTGAGCCAGGAGAGGTCTGGGGTGACATATGCGGCACTCAGCTCCCTGGCTGGGGATCGAACTCAGGTTGTGGCCGTTATAGTGCTGAGACTTAACCTCTAGACCACCAGGGAAGCCCATAATGTATGTTTCTTTCTTTTCTTTTCTGTTATTTCAAAACAGCTGTTTCAGTAGTTTAAAATTTCTCATTCTGTGAAAATTGGTACCAAGTTTTAATATAAATTAAGCTTCTATTCATCATCATATTCATTTTTCAAATTTGTGTCTATCTGTGTGCTCTATATTATTCTCACTTCCAGTTCAACATAGGATTTATTTTCATGTGTCAGCTGACAGCAGGATCCAAAGAGATAATAGGGAGAAGTAACTGGCCAAAAGCAGACAGTATGATGGCTTGATCATCGCTTTCTATTGCTGCATGACACAATGCTGCACATTTAGCCGCTTAAAACCACACGTATTTATTATCTCCCCATCCTGTGGGTTAGAGGGCTGGGTGGGCTTAGCTGGGGTTTCTTTGCTCAGCATCTCACACCCTGAAATCAAAGTATCCACAGAGCTGCATTCTCATTGGAAACTTAGCTGGGAAATGGGCTCATTCAGGCAGAATCCAGTTCCTGTGCTTTCTCCTGACTGTCAAGAAGGAGTCACTCTCCTCTCCTAAAGAGCACCCTCAGGTCCTTCCCACGTGGTCCCTGCCCCTTTCAAGCCAGCATTCCTTGTGTGTGAAACTCCCTGATGTCCCTTTCTGCACCCAGTTGAAGAAACTGCTGTGACTTGGTGAGAGTCACCCACATAATTTTCCTTTGGACTTCCTTAGAATCAACTGATTACTGACCTTTTTATATATCTGCACAACCTTTTCCTTGTAACATAAGAAGCATAATCATGAGTAAGACAAGGGCTCAGAGATCATGGAGGTCTTCTGGAATTCAGCCTACCATGCTTGGAGAGTAAATAAAAATGCAGAATGATAATCTGAGGTCTGGCTACATCTGTGAGCTTGGTCTTTGTGAAGTGCTTCTGTTATTCAGATAGGATGCACAATGTCTCTTGCATCTTGGTCTAAAGCAAGTACCATTTCCAATCCCTTCACCATTAGGACACCAGAAGGGCATCAATCCCTTTGCCTTTAGGATACCAATGTGGATTCAAAACAGCTAAGTAGCCCTTAAAAGAAGTGTGTGTGTTGATGGAATATTACTCAGTGATCAAAAAAAACTAAACACATGCCTCTTGCAGCAACGTGGATGGAGCTGGAAAAGATCATGCTTAGTGGGGCCCTCCCTGGTGGCACAGCGGGCTAAAGCACAGCACTGAGAAGCTAAAGCCACTTCCGTATGAGTTCGATTCCCACCAGCCCCAGAGGTGACCACATGGCGTGGCAGACCTCTCCTGACCCGCCCGCTGCTCCCCTCAGCAGTGTACTTCGTAGATCTGCCTGTTCTGCTCCCCACTCTGTCTCTGGTGAAGCCTCTTGCCACCCCTGAGCCTCTGGCCTGTACCCCAGTTCTGTATGAACAAAAAATAAATCTAAAAAAAAGAAAAAAAGAAAAAAGATCATGCTTAGTGGAATAAGCCAGAAAGAAAAGGAAAAATACCATATGGTTTCACTCATAGCAAGAGTATAAAGCACCAGGGGAGAAAATAATAATAATCATGAACAAATATATACCAGAGACATTTTATAGGAGTGGAAGTGTATGTTTGACACAGGATGAAGGCCAGCTCGCAGATACCAAGGCGTGCTCTGGCTCACAATCAGCCTGTCTGGCCTAAAGCTGACACCTGGTTCATGTTCTGTTCCAGATTCAGAGGAACATGACCATGAAGTCGCTGCTGAGGGCACTGGTGAGCATGCCTCCCCACTACCGCTGCCTCTGTGTCAGCCACCTCATCGGATGGACCGCATTCCTGTCTAATATGCTCTTCTTCACAGATTTCATGGGCCAGGTAATGATGCTGTCTGTGCACACACTCATTACTCACACACAACTCCTTCGGTCAGCACTGTTGATCTCGTAGGCTATCCTGTGACTGACTTACAATTACTGCAGGCAAATTACTACGCCCCCGACAACTGACAGTCACCATGGACCAGTCCTCGATCAAATCCAACAAATAAGGAGAAAAGCGATGTGAGTTGTAGAGGTTACAGCAGCCTTAATGAAAGGAGGAAGTGTGATCCAGGCCTTCAAGGATGAGTAGGAGTTGGGAAAAACATTCTGAGCAGGAATAGGATTGCCATGTGTGCAAAATCTACAGGCTGTACCAGAAAATGGGTGGTAGGGTGGCCTAAGGAAGGTGGGGTCGGTGTTAGCGGCTCAGGGAGACGTTGGCCAGACTTGAAGCAGAAGGCACTAGGCCTTCCTGAAGGCCCTTGGATGGAAGTGTGAGCAGCGCCTTAGTCATGGGAGACTGGGCCGAAGCTCGGGGATTCAGCCAGGAAGCGAAGCTTGGTTCTCCCCAGGGCTGGAGGAGGAGCACGTGGAAGAGGGGTTCCGCTCAGCAGCCCAAATCTCTCTTTCAGATCGTGTACCATGGGGATCCCTACCGTGCCCACAACTCTACAGAGTTTCTCTTCTACCAAAGAGGGGTCGAGGTCGGATGCTGGGGTCTGTGTATCAACGCAGTGTTTTCCTCACTCTATTCTTGTAAGTCTCCTCCTGAGGGTGTCTTCTAAGGGTGCTGTCTAGCAGAATCTTGGATTTTATATTTCTGTACTTTATCAGGTTATTTTTTTAATGATTTATTTTGTTTATTTATGCATATAAGAGCTGGGGTGGAGGTCTAGGCCAGAGGTGCGGTAAGTGGGGTGAAAGGATTCACCAGAGACAGAAGAGCAGGGCACAGAATGGGCAGATTGACTCACATACTCTGTGGAGGGGAGCCGCAGGCGAGGCAGGGGAGGTCTGCTGCACCATGTGGTCACCTCCCTGGCCAGGCATTGAACTCGTGCCTTAGTGATTGACAATAGCTTCAGAGAGCTGAGACTTAAATCCTTGCACCACCAGGGAGACCCCTTTATCAGATTCTTGGCTCAGGAACTGCTCCTCCAGTTCCCATATCCAGGTATTGCTCAATCATGTTTTTTAGATCCAGACCCAAAATGACCGCCTCTATAAAATCTTTTGTCTACCACCCACACCCTAATCCATCCAGGCAGAATCAATCATTGACTTTAATTCCAGAGTATACAATGGAATTTTCTGTTTTGGACTCATCACATAATTTTAGGTGCAAAGTCAGAATTTCTGTCCAGGTGGACTTTGACCAGGCAATGTAGCTGCCTGGCTAGGGCTGGGGGAGGGTGGTAGCAGATTTGTTTTCTCAAGTTCCTCTCACACAGCAAGCACACTTAGGTCAATGAAGATGACAAGATTTATGCTGAAGTTTAGACAACCATTCATGTCACACATTATTATTCGTGACTGGTGCATAAGTCAGTCATTTCCCTCTGATCCTAAGGGGAGACACAGTCCAGGGATTTGGTTACTTCTGGGGAACAGACACAGCACAGAGCAAGTCACCTTACAGCTATGATCGCTTCATGAATAAAGCTTTCCTTGCCAGACTTCCAGTCTTTGTACTAAGGTTACTTGTGATTCCAAGTATCTCTGTTCTTTGCTTTTTCCTGGCTGACCTCCTTACTTGGGTGAGGGCTTTTCCCTAATACTGAGACATTTAGATTTCATCTTCTGTGTAGAATCATTAAGCATTCGCTGGTGCTTCTTTCATTCTGACTTGACACGAGCCCCACAGGCATGAAATTAATTCAGTAGCGGAAATAGCACTGGCCACTTGCTACTGGCAGAGTTCTGGCTTCCACTGGGTGACCCAAGGCAGTGATGAGTGTGAACACTGAGTCAAATGCAGTAGCCATGCTAGGTGTCTTGTCTACGCAACTGAAGTCCAGTGCTCTGTTTTGGAAAGATAGGGAAAAGTTCATTCTGGCTCAGTCCATTCCAAGTCTCTATCCTTTACATCCTGGGTTATGTGGAACCCCCCGGGGGAACAGGAAAAAATAAGGAATATTCGGATTAAGAGCAACTCATTTCAACAGGAAGATAAATAACCTCCTAAACACAGTGGGCAGTGTGGCCACGTCATAATAAAGAATACTAGAACATCTTTAGGGATTTTCCCTACTGTGGTAAGAAACATGGCAAAGCAGAGTTTTCAGTTTGAAAATGAACTCTTCTGTGCTACTTCATGAGTAAGGCAAGTTCACCTGCTAGGAGGGAAACCGAGTTAGTAGTGAACTACATTCCAGCCACTTTTGAAACAGCCACTCACTGGAGTCTCCCATCTGCGCTGTAGTGAGCTGGGTGATGTCACAGACATTTTATTTTATCTGACCCAGACGAAAACCCAAAGAAAGGTTGTATTCATCCCATGTTTTAGACAGAGAAGCTGAGGTGTTTTTTTTTTTTTTTAATAATATAATAGTTTATTTTTACATCCTTTTGTGCCTTTTTCCAATCTTAGTGTAATCCCCATGAGCATCCCTTCACCAAATCACCCGTGTGCCATCACCATAGTCCAGTGCATTTCCCTCCCCCCCCATTTTTGATCCCATTCCCCACTCCACCCCTGTAAAATGTCTCTAGAATGTCGATGTTCATTATTATTATTATTTTCTCCCCTGGTCTTTTATACTCCTGCTATGAGTTTAACAAACTAGTATTTTTTCTTTTCTTTCTGGCTTATTTCACTAAGCATGATCCAAGAAGCTGAGGTTTGGAGAAGCTAAGGAAGTTGCCCAGAGAGGGGGAGCAGCCGTGGGGGGTGCCCAGCTGCATGGGAGAGCCCCTTAGCAGGAAGGACTGGCTAGTCAGGGGATAGGGCTGATGGATAGTCCTCTGCTTCTTCTCAGACAGCTGCGGGGTCCCTACAGCAGTGCAGTGACTTGGTTCACTATGTCAAATCCAGTTGGTACATTTTCTTCAACCTGACTTTGGGTGTGGGGGCAAGATAGAAGTGGGTCATTATTTCTGCTCTGTAAGGCTACATCCCTGTGAATCAGAAATGACCCACTTTTCTCTCAGTCTTGCAACCCCGGACTAGCCAATCCAGACTTTCCCAGCTTTTTGCCATCATGTTGCTGTTCACCTACCTACTACATGGTGCCTGGTTCTCCCTCAAGGGAAAAAAAAACAAAAAACAAACCAACCTTGCAAGGCAATTTCCAGGCTCTTTATTTTTTTAAGGATTTTTTATTGATGCATACAGAACTGGAGTACAGGCCAGAGGTGCAGGGGCATTGAGAGGCTTCACCAGAGACAGAGTAGGGAGCAGAACAGGCAGATTGAGGAAGTACACTGCTGAGGGGAGCAGCGGGCGGGTCAGGAGAGGTCTGCCACGCCATGTGGTCACCCCCTGGGCGGGGGATGGATCACGTACTGAAATGGCTTTAGAGTCTCAGTGCTGTGCTTCAACCCACTGTGCCACCAGGCAGGGCCAAGTCACAGGCTCTTTAACAAAAAGGATTTAAAGCCGATTCCCAAAGTCTGCTGTTTTCAAGCACAGATAAGCTTCTTTTGTGGCTCACTCAAAACAAAGGAAGTTTCCTAAGGAAAGTGAATCTTCAAAAGGGAGATTGAGGCCCTCCCTGGTGGTGCGTGGGTTAAAACACAGCACTGGGAAGCTGAAGCCACTTCGCATGAGTTCGATTCCCGCCTGCCCTAGAGGTGACCACATGGCGTGGCAGACCTCTCCTGACCCGCCCGCTGCTCCCCTCAGCAGTGTACTTCGTCGATCTGCCTGTTCTGCTCCCCACTCTGTCTCTGGTGAAGCCTGTCACTGCCCTTGAGCCTCTGGCCTGTACCCCAGTTCTGTATGAAGAAATAAATAAATAAAAGGGAGATTGAAATTATTAAATTGTAAAATACTGACAGGTGTATTTCTGCCTCTTCTCTCTGCAGATTTTCAGAAAGCCTTGGTAGCCTACGTTGGATTAAAAGGTCTTTACTTTATGGGTTATTTGCTGTTTGGCCTGGGGACAGGATTTATCGGGCTCTTCCCCAACGTCTACTCCACCCTGGCCCTGTGCGCCCTGTTTGGGGTGATGTCCAGCACCCTGTACACAGTGCCTTTTAATCTCATTGCTGAGTACCACCGCGAGGAGCTGGAGGGTCAGGTTCGTCCTTGCACGTCTGCCTGGAAGCCGGGGGGATGGGGAGTGATGCTGTAGGGCAAAGCTGGAACCAAAGGTTCTTGCAACAATGGCACCCAAATGCCCAGCGGAAGTGAGGAGGGCTGGCCCCGCCCGGCACCTTCTAGCCCTCCCTCCTCCTGCTCCTTACCCTAAGCCCCACAAACCTGGGAGCGGGAGGGCAGGTGCCTTGACTCCCATTTGTCAGGTAAGGGAAAAGGGGGGCTTTGAAAATACTGAGAAATCAGCCCACTATCAGACACAAAGAACGAAGGGCCCAGAGCTTCAGAGAGCTACCCCATGGTAGTGCCAGCTGGCATGGGGCAGGTTCTCTGTCGATGTAGACAGAAGGACAGAGGAGCTTCCTGGGACCCTTGGTGGCTTTTCAGGCTTTCATGCTCTTAATACCCCAGTTTTTGTGTGGCAAGCCAGAAGGCTGGCAAGGCAGGGAGGCCGGGAGGCAGGGTGCCAGGCGGCTGGCTGGCTGGCCTTCCTGCACCCCGTGAATCTCTCTGGTTGTTGCTAATTCTCTTTGGCCTCTCTCTGGCATATCTCATGGTCCCACCTCCACAGCCATTTGTCCTCGAGCTGTTCCTGTCGCTCAGTGACTCGCCTCCAGGCCCACGAGTGCCCACTTCCGCAGGCCCACACCATGCTCCAGCTGCCACCCTCAGACAGGTGTGCCCTTGCCCCGTCCCTCAGCACCGTCTGTATTCAAGGCCACAGCAGCCAACAGCGTAAAAGCCTGACCATCTTCGTGTACCTTCCACCCACTTATCAGCACCTCGCCAGCAGTTCTGGGAGCCCACAAATCCAACACTGCAGAGGTGCAATGTGGAATTTCTGGAAGTAGTTGGTTCAGGGTTGGAAATGGTAGTCAGTATTTTCCTGGAAGTTAAATTTTTAGTAGGTCCCCTGCATGCAGGGAGAAAAGCTGCTTGCGAATGGCCATCCCACAGCTGCCCAGAGGGGCATCTGCCTGACTCATCCAGGAGCTCAGCTGGAGAACCAGGCCTCGGCTGCCTGAAAAGAGCTCTAGCTTGGGTATTTCTGCTCTAAAATTGCCCCTTTGTTAGAATATGCAACATTCCCCCAGGAATATAGGTTTGTATTATTATTTTTTTTCATACATTGTTGGGCTTGTGTCTCTTTAACTGATGTAATGATACAAAGCTAAAGAGATGCCTTCGAGTGACCCCATCACAGTGTGAAACTGCTCTAACGCTGACACACGTGACAGCAACACCAGCCTCCCGGGAAATGCAACAGGACAGCGTCTCCAGGAGTCAGCACCTTTCAGCAGGAGCTGTGAGCACCCTTGTTCCCTTGTGCCACCCCCATTTCCTTTTTTTGTCAAAGAGATCGCTGTCAGAAAGAACTGAGAGGCTTAGGTGGTCCCAGGACAAGAACACTGGAACTCAGGACTCAGAGAAATCTGCATTCAAATCCTGCCACCACCTCCACCCCCCTTGACAACTGTGTGACACTGGGGTGTTATACTTTTATTTTTAAAATATTATTTGAAGCCAGTTCACAGAGCTAGTGTATTCACATGGCTCAGCAGTCACAATGATTTAAAAAATACACAGAAATACATCCATCTCTCAGATTTTTCTCCCCTCTTGGCCTCTATAAGTAACCACTCTTATTAGTTTTCTGTTTCTCTTTGCTGGAATTTTTTTTTTTAAAGATTTATTTATTTGTGCATACAGAACTGGGGTACAGGCCAGAGGTTCAGGGGCGGTGAGAGGCTTCACCCGACACAATAAACCTGCCTTTCAAAATGCAGCCTTTGCC